AATCTGTCCAGCGGATTTTTGGGAATGGCAGAGGGGTGGGAGCGGAGCTGCCGCCATTCCCAGGCGTTGGGAATGTCGGGATGAGCCACCTGGAGCGGGTCAGTCCCTGAGCCCAGCTCTCCTCTCTCTTTCTCTCTCTCTGATTACTAATTAGCTGGTTAACATTCCCTGCCTCATTATCCCACCCTCGGCTTTTCTTCCCTTAGGAAGGGATCTGAGCCTTTCCAGGGCTCCAGAGGAGCGTTAACTCACTCTGGATTGAGCAGCGCCTGTTTGTGAGCACCGTTTGTGGTGTAAACCCAAATTCCACCCTCCACATGCACCGTTTTTAGGGATACCTGTGAAACCAACGCAGAGTTCTATCCCATTTTGCTGTGCTTTTTGATTTATGGCCGTTCCTGGGGGACAATTCCCATTCCTGCATTGCCAGGATAGAGGCAATCAGTAAGGAATATCTTCGTGGCAGCCCAGTTTAAAACTATTTTCCCCATTCCAACAGGGACTTTAATTCCATTTTAACACTCCCAGCCACTCCACGAGCTCATTAAAGCTCTGTGCTGCAGAGAGTTCTTCGCCCTGTGGCAAAACTTTCCAAATTCCGTGATTTTTTTTTTTTTTCAATTTTTTTTTTTTTCCTCCTGTTAAGGTGTGAAAAATGCTGTTCTGGTGTTCTCTGGAAATAGTTCTCACCTTTGGAATAATACTGGAGAGAGGCAGAGTGCTGAAAATAGCAGCAGCTGCCATAGGCCAGGATGGAGTTGTGTTGTCAGTCATGGGAACAGAAATCCAATTCCACCTGCGGATGAGCATTCCCGAAATAGAAGAGGGGTTGTCAACCACCAGAGGAGATGCATTGTGTGCATCCCTGGTGAGGAAAAAAAAAAATTAAAAAAAAGAATAAAATCAGATCCACGTTTTCCAGTGGTTTGGAAAACTTGGGAGAGTCCCAGAGCTGCCCTTGGGAGAGGTGGTTTGGCTAAAATGTGGTGGTTGGGAGGTAAATCTGGGCAAAAGCTCGCTGGGATTCCAAAGGGATTCTCAGAGAGAGGTTTTGCCAGCCTGGGGAAGGTGGGAACGGCTCCAGGGTCGGGAAAAGCACTTGGGGAAGGTCGTTGGAGGGGCAGGAAGTTTTTATGGGAGGCTGAACAAAGCTGGGTAGGAAATGGATTCACAGCCAAGGCAGGGGGGCTGCGCTGCTTCCCCGAATTCCACCACTCCTGAGGCGTTCCAGGTACAAATTCTCAATTTTTCCTGTAATTTCAGGAGCCACAGAACCTCTGGTGCAGCTGCTTTTCTTCCCCAAACTCCCCCAATCTGTTTTTTTAACAGATTTATTCGTCTCATCCTCAAAACTCCTGTCCCCTTTGGCATAAATAAACCCTCCCTCTTTGGTGTTTTCCATGTGCAGGCTGCTGTAATTACGGGTTTGGATTCCTGCTGGGACTGATTGTGCCGAGCTGATCCAAGTGCTGGTGCCCATGGATCAGCTTTGGGGCTGGTGATTAAAATAAAACAGAATGGCTGGGTGGGAAGAGGGGTGGGCCTGGCCACCGTCCATTTAATCCTACAACAGATTGGAAAAGCTTTTTGTCCACATCCATATTTTCCTGAATGTTCTCCTAGGTTTTATCCAAGCTGGAATATTTTCTCCTCCGTGCTCTGGGTGGTTGTAAATTCCAGGACTTAAAATTTGTTATTTCTGCGTTTTCCCAGATCGCAAATTTCAGTGGATTATCCAAGGAAAAACCCATTTCTGCCAGGTTTTGTCAAAATAAAACTGGGATGCTGAGGGCTGGCAGTGCTCCTCATCCATTCCTTCCAGGATAATGCTGTTATCCTGGTTTAAAAGGTTCTTGTGGAGCTGGTGGTTGCAGTAGGAAGTGGAGGAGCAATTCCAGGATTTAATGAATACTGTCCCTAATGCCTGAGTGCCTTCCCATCAGCCCAAAGGGAGTGGGAATGGGAAAGAATTCCGTGAGCAGAGCTGGATAAAGCTGCAGAAATTCTGTGTGAATGTGCTGGAAGGAAAAAAAAAAAAAAAAGATGGATTGATGGATTGGGAAGTGAGAACCCATAAATCTGCCACCTCTGTCACCTCTCTGGGAATGGGAATTTGCTCCATTCCCTGCATTCCCAGCAGATCCTGCTCTAATCCAGGCCTATAAATACTCCTGGTTTGCCTTCCTGGCTGACGTGGCTCCGGCAGGGATCTCGTTAGGAGCAGGATTTTGTGGAATTCAGAGGCTTTTTGGTGGTGGTTGTTGCGCTCTTTGGAGGTTTGTTGGTGGAGCTGGGAGTGAGGATGACACAGGGAGAGCTGGAATCCCATTCCTGCCAGGATATTTCCTGCTCTGTGGGATGGCAACCACACTCGGTGTTCCAGAGTTGGAAGGAGCTTCCCTCCAAGCTCCTGAGCTGCTCCATCCTGAGGGACACGGATTTTCCAGCTTTGCCAGCTCCAGGAGGGCAGGGGTAGGTGGGATTTCTAGGAATTCCTCCCTGTGAGGATGCTGAGGGAAGGGAATGGAATTCCCAGAGCAGCTGTGGCTGCCCCTGGATCCCTGGGGGTGTCCAAGGCCAGGCTGGAGCAAACTGGGATAGTGAGCAGATTCCCTACCCTTGGAATGGGATGGGCTTTGAGATCCCCTCCCACCCAAACCCTCCTGAGGTTCCACGATCCCAAACACGATTTTTCTCAAAGTCCCTGGGCCGTGACCCTGTCAGTGCAGCCCTGAGGGGTTTTGGTGTAAATCCCGAGGTTTGGGAGCTCACACCAGGCAGGAAAAGGCTCCCTTAAACTCCACTGAACTCCCACTGGGTTTCCTGTAATCCCAACTCCTTTTCCTGAAGGATTTCTCTGTGTGTGTGTGTGTGTGGCAGCTCTGCCCCTCCCTGTGCCGTGTCCTGGGGGCTTTGTCCTTGTCCCCAGCGAGTCTGGTGGCACCGTGGGGTTCTGCAGACCTGGCACGGAGCTCCTGCTGCCAGCTGGGTCCAGAGATAAAACTGAGTTTTTCCCAGTTCCCAAACAGAGGGATGAGTTTTCCCAGTTCCCAAAGGGATGAGTTTTTCCCAGTTCCCAAAGGGGTGAGTTTCTCCAATTGCCATCTCTGCTGTCCCCAGGGCAGAGCCACAACAGGGACAGGCAAACATCCCAAGCTTCCTGGTGCTTCCCTGCTCCAGGTGCTGCTCCCTGGTTTTTATCTGGGCAGGTTCTGCTGTTAATGATTACACAGGGAGCAGTTCCCTCTGGAAAGCCGAGCCTGGCACTGCCCCGAGGCCTCCTGCTCCCCTGGTTGGGTTTTGTCATCTTTGGAAACAAGCTGGGATAATAATTTGTATTCTCTGCTCCCCGTGGGGTTTATTCCCTTGAAATTCCAGCGTGAATCGGGGGGTTTCTCTGCCCAGAGCAGAGGGATTCTCTGCTGGAAGTGCTGAGGAGTTAAATCCCAGAGTTCCAGCTGGGACAGAGTGGGAACACAAACCTGGCTGGGATGTTTACCCTGGAGCCGATGACAAGGTGGGGCTGGGTTTTATCAGAGGCGTTTTCCCAGCAATAAATGAAACATTGGGAATGTTTTTAGGGAAGCACAGCTCTGTAACCACATCCTGGCCACTTGCTCCAAACAAACCAAAGAACTGATGAGGTGGGAGAGTCGTGAGGCAGCCGGGGTGTGGGGAGAACATCGGGATCTTTGCACAGATCTGTGCCCTGGCCCCGTGTCTGTGGGGATGAGGGTCCTCAAACCCTCCCCTGAATTCCCTCTGCTTCCTTTGCTTCTGCTGTGCTGGGGCCCAAACTCTGCTTTTTTCTTTTTTTCCCCTTTTGCAGATGTCATTCTCTGCCACCTGACAAAGGAACAGAATGCAGCAATTTTCCCTAACCTAAATAGTGGCTCTGTATTTCCAGCTCCCCTGGAACTGGAATTAATTTAGTGTGTGGGCTTTTTAATTGGCTCGTTGTGGGGAGGAACAGAAGATGAAATGCTGCAGCTCTGCCTTCCTCTTCCCTTTCTTTCCTTAAATCTTTGTCACTCTCCTTGTCTTTCACTTCCATGAGTCGCTCAGGTTATTTTTCCCCAGTTTCTTTTGTTGAAACTCCCCTCTGCCAGCCTCAGGAATATCATGGATGGGGCTGCTTCCTCCACCTGGGACAAATCCTGGAATTGGTTCTCCACTCCTGGTGTGCTGGTTTTGGGATGGATGGATGGATGGGTGATGGATATATGATGGATTGAGGGATGGATGGATGATGGATGGATGGATGAATTGATGGAGGTATGGATGGAGCAATGGATGGATTAATTGATGGAGGGAGGGATGGATGGATGATGGAAGGAGGGATGAATGGATGGATGATGAATGGATGGATCCTTGTTCCAATGGAGCCATCTTCAGACTCGGATGTGGAATTGCACAGGTGACAGCCTGGGAGCTGCCAGGCTTTTCCCTTCCCACAAAAAAAAAATCTCTTTTGGAATCGATGTGTTCAAAGCCAGGTCTAAGCTGATAGAAATTGGGGTTTTTTATCCCAGATTCCATGGATCAGCACGGAGAAAGCCTCAAGTACCACCTGCATCATCCTCACTAAACCTCTTCTGTGAGGACTTTTAAGATTTCATCCCCCCTGCCAAAAAAATCTCAAAATGTAAATAAACCACCCCAAAGGACACACTGCTCATGTGGCTGAGTGGATTTGAATTGATTTGGAGTGGGCTGGATTCCAGCAGAGAGAAAACAGGGAAAACACGGGGGAAAAAGAGGCTGCTGAAAATGGGAGAAAAGGTGTGAGGTGCTTTAAATAGTTCAGGAATGGGCTGGATTCCAGCAGGGAGAAAACAGGGAAAACACAGGGAAAAACAGGGATGATGGAGATGGGGAAAAGGTGTGAGGTGCTTTAGCTGGTGGGCTCAAACCTGGTATCGAGAGGAGCTGGAATTCCCTGCAGGATCCTTTCAATTGCTGAAAATTCTCTCAATTTTTTTTTATTATTTTTATTTTAGGAGATTTGTCCTTTCCTCCCCGCAGCAAGTGAGGTGGGAACACCTGCCCAGGTAGGTGCCAGCAGCACCCACAGACACCCAAACACCTCCTGAGCCCCAAATCAGGGCATTTCCCACCTGGAATTTGGGTGGGAAGGATCCTAAAGCCCATCCAGTCCCTTCCCTTCCACCATCCCAGGGTGCTCCAAGCCCCGTCCAGCTTTGGCACGGGGCAGCCACGCTGTCCATGGTCACCTGTGCCAGGTGGGCAGTGGGGACTGTCCCTCCACTGAGAGGTGGTGACCAGGTGCCTCAAGTGGCCCTGGGGACACACAGAAATCTGACGTGGAGCTGCTGCCTCTAACTGGAATTGTTCTTCATGCAACAAATCCATTCTTTTTCCTGGAATTAGCTGATCCTTCAGGTCCCTTCCATCCCAAACCCCTCTGTGACAACACAATAAAAACACTCTTTAGGTGTCCCAATATTCTCCATCTTTCAAATTCTTAATTTCAAAAAAGATCCGAGTTTTGATAGGAAGATGCAAAGGTTAATCAAGGTCACAGCCACTGACCTGCCTCGGGAGCAGCTCCAGAGGTGTTCCCCTGTTCCTCCAAGGAATACCCAGCCAGGCCAGAGTTGTTTCTTGGGCAGAAATCTTTTTTTTTAGGAGATTCCAGCGGGTTTCTGTCCTCAGTCCCGGCTTTAGGCTGGATTTGGAGTCTCCAAGAGAGGGCACTGTGTGCCTGGCAGTGGAGCCGTGGATGAGCTGCCAGCCCCGAGCTCCTCATCCCGGGGAGCCGAGTAATTAACTGAGACACTCATTAGCAGCTGCTTTGGGGGCTGGACATCCTCATGTGACCGCTGGTCCTTTCCCTCCATCCCTGGCAGCGCTTCCTCCTGCCTCACTTTCCTAAAAAAAACCCGCAGAAATAAATGTCCCTTTGCCCTGATTTGTGCACTTGGGGTGTCCTCCAGGAGGGGAACCTCGCTGTGAGTCACAGGTTTCATCCAAACCAGGAGGAAAACGGGGAAAAACAAAAAGAGGAGAACTCGGGGAGGTTGTTCTTCCTGTGGGAAACGTTTGTGCTCTAGCTCAGAGCAAATCTTTGTTCAGGAGTTTGTGTGGAAGTGTGGATTTCATTTCTCAGGAGGGACCTGACAGGAGGATTTGAAGCTCTGCCCTGGAGGTTTTGGGGTGGTTGCCCTGGTGCCATTGTTGGATAATTTGCTATTTTTAGGGGGATATTTTTAGGGTTGTGACAAGTCCAGCTCTGGACTTGGATCTGGGGATATTTATGGAGCACAAAGGGGAAGAATTGAACCTGTGGTGCTGCTCCATGGAGGGGGATTTAATCTTGGGGGTGAGCCGAGCATCCAGAGAGACATCGAGGGGCTGGGAAAGGGCTGGAGAATTCCTGAGGGAGCTGGGAAGGGGCTGGAGAATTCCTGAGGGGGCTGGAGAATTCCTGAGGGAGCTGGGAAGGGGCTGGAGAATTCCTGAGGGGGCTGGAGAATTCCTGAGGGGGCTGGAGAATTCCTGAGGGGGCTGGAGAATTCCTGAGGGGGCTGGGAAGGGGCTGGAGAATTCCTGAAGGAGCTGGGAAGGGGCCCAGCCTGGAGAAAAGCGGGATCAGGGGGACATTCCCAATGTCCACAAGTCCCCAGCAGGAGGGGACAGGAGTGGCTCTGCTCCCAGGGGACACCAGGACAGGAGGGAACAGCCCCAGGGTGCTCCAGGTGGGACATCAGCAGGAATTTCCTCCTGGAAAGGGTTGTTAAACCTTGGGAAGAGCTGTCCAGGAAGGTTTGGGGTCCTCATCCCTGGAGGTGTCCCTGGAGGTGGCACTTGGGGCCCTGGGCTGGGGACAAGGTGGGGATCAGGCACAGCCAGGACTGCTGATCCCAGAGCTCTTTTCCAGCCTCAATGATCCCCTGCTCCTGATTTTTCTCCCTTTTTTGATCTCTTTGTGGTGCCAATCAGGACTCTCACACACCTTTCTGGGTTTTAGGAGCAGCTTTTCATGCTCTCAATTCTCCCCCCGTTCCTGAAGTGGCACAAATCCCCTTTTTTTAGGGATTTATATCCTGCAGAAATGGAGCTGCCCTGGCTCAGGAATCACGGATGGATCCCATTTCCCAGGGGTCATTAAGACATTTAATTTTTTCACTAATTGCCTGTATTAAGTTGCTGATCCTGGAAGATTGAGGGCACTTGTGTAACACAAACCACATTGAAACAACCTCAGAAGTGGCTCTGAGGTGAAACAGCCACATTTAAACCCAAACCTTGCTTTCCAAATCCTTCCTCTGGATATTTTCCTCCTTTCCCCGTTTTCTGTGGTGAACTTTTCCCAGCTGGAAGGAAAAAGGGGAATATCCCCTCCCTGGGGAGTGTTTGGTTCAGCTGGAAGCAGGGCTGGTTTATCAGGATTCTTTTTGTGGGGTGTTTTTAGGGATTTTAAACAACTTGATACTTAATATTTTACTGGAGAAATTCCCAAATTGTTGGAGCAGCCTATAGAATAACTCTGCAGCCTTCAGCTGCTGTCAGAACACTGCAAAGCAAATTCCTGCTGGATTTTCCAAGGGCACTCCAGGAATCCCAAACCTCAGCATCCCATCTGGTATTTACAGAGTCAGGAATTCCCCTCAGCTGGATCCTCTTTCACCTCCTCTTCCCCTTCCACACAGTTGTTGGTATGGATTTCAAAATTCCAGCCATTTTTGGGATGCTGTTGGTGTGGATTTTAAAATTCCTGCTGTTTTTGGGATGCTGTTGGTGTGGATTTTAAAATTCTGCCGTTTTGGGGATGCTGTTGGTGTGGATTTAAAAATTCCTGCTGTTTTTGGGATGCTGTTGGTGTGGATTTTAAAATTCCTGCCTTTTTTTTTTGAGATGTTGATAGAAAAGATCCCCTTTGGATCCTGGCAGAGGCTCTGGGCTGAAATAATTCCATTAAACCTCAGGAGCAGGGAAGGGGATTGTCCCTGGTTTGATCTGCTTGGAACAGCTGCAGGCATTTGCTAAAACTGGATGATTTAAATACAAATTTTTTTTTTGGTTGCTATTTTGCCCTCTAAAAGCAGAAAAAGGTGACTTTTTTTTTTTTTTTTGGATGAAAGGAAGCTGGAAAGTCAAAGGCATCCCTGGAGTACCCCGAGCAGAGGGAGCTGCTGCTCCAGCACAGTTTGTTCCTTTGGCGTGGGGACACTTTTAAAATCTCATTTTTCCAAACAACTCCTGGAAATTGGCATCCCAGAAGCAAAAACTCTTATAAAAATAGCTCTGAAACGAGCCCTGTTGTTTCCATGGCCCCTTGTCCCGAGGATCCTTGAAACTCTGGAGGGGTTTGAGGAGATTCTGCCGAGCAGAGCCCCAAACATTTCCTGTGAGGAATGAGCTCCTGCTGCTGGAATGCTGCTGTCTGCGGGGTTTATTTTAAACTGCTTTTCCTCTTTTGCTCAGAGGAAAAGCAATTCCTGGGCAGGAATGCCTGAGGGGGTTGGAAAAATCCCTTGGAATATCCCACATGGGGAAATGGTGCTGCACTTCTGAATTAATCTGGTTTGTTTCCTGTGGTCTGGAATTTCACCTTTCCCCCTCCAACATGGATCCACCTGTGCACAGGTGTGTGAAATGGGGTGCTCTGCTCAGAAATCCCCAAATTCCTGAGCCTCCCAGGGGCAGGATTTGCCTTTGGAAAGACTTTGAAAAGCCAAGTGTGGTCACTTTGTCCCTGTGCTCAATTTCCCTGGAGGTGTGAATCCTGCAGACCCTTTTTGCTTCCCTCTCCTCTAATTCTTCCCTTTTTAGGACTTCAAAAAAAAATATTCCAGAGCCAGTTGCCAGCACAGACCTCCCAACGAGCTTCCAACAGCAAATGAGTGCTGGCTGCAGCATCTGTTCCCAAAAAAAACCCCCAAAAAACCCAGCTGGAAAAGGGCACAGGGAAAGAAGGATCTGCTCATCCCTTGGAGGAGCTCCCAGGGAAAAGTTCACCTTTGAAGCTCTGCCCTGGAGGTTTTGGGGTGGTTGCCCTGGTGCCATTGTTGGATAATTTGCTATTTATAGGGGGATATTTTTAGGGATGTGACAAGTCCAGCTCTGGACTTGGATCTGGGGATATTTATGGAGCACAAAGGGGCGGAATTGAACCTGTGGTGCTGCTTCATGGAGGGGGATTTAATCCTGGGGGTGAGCCGAGCATCCAGAGAGACATTGAGGGGCTGGGAAGGGGCTGGGAAAGGGCTGGAGAATTCCTGAGAGAACTGGGAAAGGGCTGGAGAATCCCTGAGGGAGCTGGAAAAGGGCTGGAGAATCCCTGAGGGAGCTGGGAAAGGGCTGGAGAATTCCTGAGGGAGCTGGGAAAGGGCTGGAGAATTCCTGAGAGAACTGGGAAAGGGATGGAGAATTCCTGAGGAATCTGGAAAAGGGCTCTAGAATTCCTGAGGGAGCTGGGAATGGTGCTGGAGAGTTCCTGAGGGAGCTGGGAAAGGGCTGGGGAGTTCCTGTAGGAGCTGGGAAGGGGCTGGAGAATTCCAGGGGCACAGAATTCCTGCTGCTGAGCTGGGAGCTCCTCCTGGAAAGGCTCCAGCTCCTTCCCCGGCATTCCTGGCTCCAGGGGGGGAATTCTGGTGGGTTGGGCTGCGGGATCCGGTTTCCTTCCTGGCTCTGGCCCTCCGGGATGCTTCACATTCCCAACTGTTGGTGCTTCCAAGGAATTGGGGAAGGAATTCCCCTTCCTGCTGCCCACACCCACTCCCCAGAAGCATCTGAAAGGGATGGTTCTGGCTTGGCAGGGTCAGGGAAGGAAGGAAGGGCAGGAAAACCGGGATAGAGCCAGGGAAACCTGGGTAGAGCCAGGGAAACCAGGATACAGCCAGGGAAATGTGAATGCAGCCAGGTAAACTGGGATAGAGCTAGGAAAACTGGGATACAGCCAGGAAAACCCGGGTAGAGCCAGGAAAACCGTGATGGAGTGAGGGAAACCGGGATAGAGCCAAGAAAACCTGGATACAGCCAGGAAAACCCAGGTAGAGACAGGAAAACCTGGATAGAGCCAGGGAAACCAGGATAGAGACAGGAAAACCTGGATAGAGCAGGGAAACTGGGATAGAGACAGGAAAACCTGGATACAGGCAGGAAAACCCAGGTAGAGACAGGAAAACCTGGATACAGCCAGGGAAACGTGAATGCAGCCAGGGAAACTGGGATAGAGCCAAGAAAACCTGGATACAGCCAGGAAAACCCAGGTAGAGCCAGGGAAACCGGGATAGAGCCAGAGGAATGTGAATGCAGCCAGGAAAACCCAGATAGAGACAGGAAAACCAGGATACAGGCAAGGAAAACCTGGATCCAGGCAGGATTTTGCCCCAGCTGTCAGTGTGACAATTCCCAGCAGGAATTGCCGTTTGTGGGGAGGGGGCAGAGCCTTCCCAAAGCCTCCAGGCCCGGAGCCAGGGGATGTTTCCCGGAGGAAGTGGCAGCTCCTGGGGCACAGGGAAGGCCCAGTCTGTCCCCAGCCCTGTCCCCAGCCGGGCTGGCAGCAGATCCGGTGTCCCTAAACAGGAGTCTGTGGAATATCGAGTTCCAAACCTTTGCACCGGGACAGGGCTGGGAGGAAGGAGGGGGCAGAGCTGATTGCAGCTGAGGTCAGCCTTGTTTTCCCTCCCGGAGCAGGGATCCTGCAGGGCTGGAGAGCCAGAGGAGGGATCCTGTCCCTCTGGAAAGCTCCGGGGCTGCTTGTTCCCTCTGCTGCCAGGTCCCCATGGGGTCTCTGCAGGGCTCTGAGAGCAGCAATAAAGCTAAAATTTAACTTTTCTTAGTGCAGGACCTCCCTGCACTTTGGAAAGAAGAAAAGGAGAAACCCAAAGTGGCCCAAAATTCCAGGGAAAACCGACAGCAGTAAGGCTGTGTTGTCACTGCAGGCTTTCAGCTCAGCTCAGCCTTGCTCTGATTTGGTTATTGATTAGTCTGCTGTTAATGGGTTCATTTTAGCTGGGAGAAAGGCCTGGCTGAGGCCTTTGGAATGGGTTTGGAACAGGTTTGGAACGGGTTTGGAGGTGGTTGGTTGTGTCAAGCCCTCCTGCAGTGTGGAGCTGATTCCAGCAGCAGCTTCACCTCCATGGAGTGGTTTGGCCTGGAAAAATCCCTCTGAAGTCAGGATTGCAGCTGAAGGTTGGCTTTCTGCCCAAAATTCCTGGTGGCCTTCCCTGCCCCTGGAGCCTCCCAGGTGCTGCTGCATTTGGTCAGCCCCACGCCCTGCTCATGCCCCCTGTTTGTTTATCAGCTGCACTGTGTGGATGAATTCCTTGGAATTTCGGGCCTTTTGGGTCAGTTCCAGGATTCTGGAGGGAATCAGGACTGCTCCAGCAGGAAGGAGGAGTGATCCTGATGATCCAGGTGCTCTTCCATCCCCTCCATCCCAAATCCAGCTAAAGCCTCCCCAGAGCCCAGGGATTCATGGGTGGTGCTGTGGGAATAGCTGGAAGTGCCCAATTCCAGAGGGACAGTGGGAAGGGTGGAACTGGGTGGGCTTTGAGCTGCTCCCAGCCCAAACCATTCCACGATTCCGTGAGCCTCAGGGATTGCCCATTCCAAGGCCATTTCCAAACCTGGAGCTGTTGGAGGAGTTTGTGCCTTTATCCCCAACTCCTTTTTGCTCTCTTTCCTTCCCCAAATTCAGGCTTTTTTTTTTTTTTTTCCTTGCCCTCACCATCCTATTTCCACGGAGAGCTGGCTCTGGAATGTGACATTTGTAAAAATCCCTGTTAAATAAAAAAGCAAAACAAGTTTAAACTGCTTTTTTTTGGCCGTTCCTCATCCCTGAATCCGCTGCAATCTGCAGGAGGAGGAGGTGAAAGGAGCCCTGGCCTGAACCCCAGCCCAGAGCCACTGACGTGGGTTTGACTCCTTTAGGAAAACCAAAACAAAACAAAAAACAAAATACCCTGTTTGTGTTCAGCCAGCGAGAGGGGAAAACAAGCAGGGCTGGATTTCAGCTCCGATGGATTCTTGGAATTGATCCCTCTGACTTCAGTGGGTTGAGCAATGCTTTACTGGGAAAGGGGACGTGAGGCACGAGGGATTTTTGGGGGGGCTTTGGGAACTCTGCCAAGGCCAGCTCGTTCCTGCAGCCTGGGACCGAGGTTTTCTTGGAAATTCGACCTGCCAGGCTGCTGCTTTCTGTGGTGAAATGCTCTGTAACCGTCCCTGGGATGATGTAAATGCTGCTGATTTTTTCACATTCTCCCCTCCCCCCCGCCAAAAAAAATGATGCAAACTCCTCTTCTTCACATGAAATGGGGCAAACTCCTCTTTTTCTTCATATTCCTCCCCCAAAAATGGGGGAAGTACTTCTCCCTCCCATCGTTCCCTCTCAAAAATGGGGCAAACAGTTCCTCTTCATAGTCTCCTCTAAAATGGGGCAAATCCTCCTATTTTTCATATTCCCCCGCCCCGAAACGGTGCAAACACTTCTCCCTCTCCTCATTCCCCCTGAAAATGGGAAAACACTTCCTGTGGTTAACATTCCCTCCAAAAATGAGACAAGCACCTTTCCAACTGCTCATTCCCCTCAAAAATGAAATTTAATTTCCTCTCAAACTCCTTCTCTTCTTCATTCCCCCCCAGCCAAATGATACAAACCCCTCTCCCTCCCTGCTTCCCCCCCTAAAAAATGCAATTTAGACCCAAATATTACCGAGTTCTCACCCAGGCCGTGGCTGTGATTTATAAAAACAATCCACGGCTTCCCTGTCGTTTATTCTGATTATTGATAAATGAATGTCAGCCCTGATTTTCCAGTGAACGATTGGATATTGATCAAACCAGGATGTCCCTCACCAATGCTGATTAATGCCATGATGGAGTAAATATCCCGAATTACACCTCCATTAATAACACAGCTCCATCTGCTCGGGGTGATGGATCTGAATTCCCATTTTCCTTGGCAGGAGCAATCGAGGAATCCAGAAAAATCAGGGAATCCACGCGGATCCGAGGCTGCTCTGCAGTAGGGAAGGTGAGCAGAGACCTCGTGATTTGTCTCCTTATTGATTAATTTCCCCTTAATTGGTTCATTTGATCTGGAAAAGGGTTTGGAATGGGTGGGTTTGGATTGGGAAGTGCTGACTGTGGGTGCTGCTCCTTATGGAGCCTCATTTTGTGCCAGCAATTACCTCGTTAATTAGGGAGGGAGATCTCTGCATTCCAGAGGGGACCTGGAGCTGGGTGGGAGCTGCTGTACCATGGGAAGTTCCATGAAGAGCTTGTTTTGGGCTTTTTTGGGCTTTTTTGGGGCTTTTTTTGGCTTTTTTTGGGCTTTTTTGGGCTTGTTTTGGGCTTTTTTGGGCTTGTTTGAGGTGACAAACCCAGAGCTGGGATGGGAATTTTGGCTGTGTTGTCCCAGGGCTGGATCATCCTCAGGGTTTCCAACGGCGCTGGATCCTGTTGGAATAACCTTGGGAATTCAAGGGGCGGGAGGCTGAGCCCTCCCTGATTTTGGGAGACGTTTGAGGCCCCTACAGGGCCTTTGGGACAAGAGGACACTGGGGTGATGAGGATGATGGTGATGATGATGGGCACTTGCTGCTCCTGGGTCACCCGAAGAGCTGAGATCCAGGTGACTCCAGAGCTCTGCGTTTCCCCGTGTGTCGCAGCCAGGCTTTGGAAGTGGGAATGGGCTGATTTTTGTGCATTTCGGGTGAAAAATCCCTTTTAAAAATCCCATTTTTTGGGGGAAAGGTCATCCAGGATTTCATTGCCTGCAGTTCCGCGGTGCGGGCGGTAGAGGGCGCGCTTGGGCCGCGGCTGTGGGGCTTTGATTTGAATATTTATTATTTGGATTTAATGGCATTATTTATATGGAGATTCCTTAATCAAAGCGCTCCCAGTGCTTTAATTAAAACTGGAGCCACCAGCAGAGCGGGGTGAGGCTCTGCAGGGCCACCAGGAGCACTGGGGCTTTCCCAGGAGGATGAAGATGAGGGTGAGGATTAGGATGGATTTCCCCCCACTCTTTGCCCCGAGCCGAACTTTGCACCGCAACCCCAACCAAACAAAAAAATCACCCCAAAAATCAGAATTGCTGCCAAACGCCCAGTGCCAGCAGCAGATGGCAGCACCCTGCCCTGCTCCCGGTGTTATTCCTGGCCAGGAGATTCCCTGGATCCAACCCCACAGTCTAGACTGACTGACAGACAGGATTCCTGTGCTCTTAGGTAAGCATGGACAGACACCCATTATGCAAATTCCCAGCCGGAGAGGCCTCCCAAACATTCCTCAGATTGTCTAAATAAGGTGCTGTTTCAGACCCAAACTGCAGCCAGGCTTTTGGGTGCCTTCCAGCTGGAGGTGGGATTTTTTAATAATTCTTTTATTTTTTTCCCCTGATCAGCACAGCCCGAGTTTTTTGCCTCAACAGCTGCCCAGATGTGCAGGGAGGAGAGAAAATTCAGCAGATAAAAAAACTTTTAGGCTCCTGTTGCAGCTGGGTGCTGTTAAATCTGTTTTATATCTATTTTCTATTCAGATTGCACGGAACTGATGGCATTTTTTTCTATCTCTGAGCTGCAGAAATCAGATCTGAGTGGGGAAGTGTTGGAGGGTGCAGTGACCCAGCCTTGCACGGAGGTGTTGCCCTGCTCAGGGCCTGCCTGACTCATTCCCTGGGCTGGAGGAGGTGGGGATGGATCATCAGGGATGATCCAGAGGCTTTGGAGCCGTCTGTGGCATTTGCACTCTGTCCTTTTTGCACACAGAAATTCAAAGAGCCTTTCAAGCCCCGTGACTGCAGAGTTGTTTGTGCTGCTCTGGCTGTTCCACCATCCTGAATTTCGCAGGAATTCTCCTTCCAGTCCCTAAAAATCCATCCCTAAAATCTGTGGCTAAAATGTCTCAGGTAAAACCTGTCCCTAAAATCCCCCTGAGGTGTTTCTCCTGCCCAGCCCGAAGCTGTTGCAGCCCTTTGGGAGCACACAAAGAGCTCAGGGCTGAGTGGCAGCTCCTGAGCTGCTCCAGGAGTTGGGAATTGGCCCTTAGCCCTGCCAGGAAAACATTGGAAAGCCTCCAGCTCCCGAATCCACGTGATTTTCTGGGAATTCGCTTGAAAAGGCGGTTCAGCAATCCCTGCAGGGGGTGGTGCTGGCTCGGGGTGAGGAGTTTGCTCTGGTTTCTTCGTGGTGGCCTCTCAGCTTGTCAGTACCAGCTCTGCTCTTCTAGTCCTTGCCTAAAGAAAGGCAAAAAAAAAAAAAAATCTGTTGTGTTGTTTTGTTGTGTTGTTTTGTTGGGTTTTTTTATTGCATCATCCCTCCTGTTTTCCTGAGCGTTGTTTATTTAGGGGCACAGTTAATCCTTTAAGGATTAAAGGGAAGGGAAAGGTTGGGGTGTTCACCCTTCACTTAGGGGGAATGAGGAGAAGGAGAGGTGCTTGCCCCATTTTTGGGGGAGAATGAAGAAAAGGAGAGGTGCTTGCCCCATTTTTTGGGGGGACTTAGGAGAGGGAGATGTGCTTGCCCCATTTTTGGGGGGGAGTGAGGAGAAGGAGAGGTGCTTGCTCCATTTTTTGGGGGAATGAGGAAAAGGAGAGGTGCTTGCCTCATTTTTTGGGGGGACTTAGGAGAGGGAGAGGTGCTTGCCCCATTTTTGGGGGAATGAGGAGAAGGAGAGGTGCTTGCCCCATTTTTGGGGGGGAATGAGGAGAATGAGAGGTTCTTGCTCCATTTTTGAGGGGGAATATGAAGAAGAGGAGGAGTTCCTCCAAGGAAAGCCAGGAGGGAGACTTTTGAGCAGGGTGGGACCCTCATTTCCCACTGTAGGAGCTGTGATTCCATCTTTTCCTGGGTGGGACTCTCCCTTCCCACCATGGGGCTGTGATTCCGTGTTTTCCTGCTGGGAATTCAGATTTTGGGGTGAGCTGCAGCCCCCATTACCAAATCCCATTTCCATCCACGCTCACGGCACCACCTTTGATTGCAGCTGCATCCCAACTTCCCCTCACCTGCACTCTCTGGCAGCAGGAAAATCCCAAAGCTCAGCCCTTCCCGTGGCTCCCAGCAGTTCTGGAGCTCTTTTCCAGCTCAGCTCAGCTGCTGCTTTGCCATTTCTGAGATGTGAGATAAGGAAGCAGCCGATTGCTGCTGACTCAGTTTGGGGTTTGTCCTTCCTGCCCTCCCACACTGCACCTGCACACCCAGAAACCTTCACCCCACAGCCCCCACCCCGGCTTTTCCAGCCCAAAAATTCCCTTCCCTGCTGCTCCAGGAGCTGAGAAACCCCTGGAGTTTTGTAGGGAGAGCTGAGGAGCGTTTTGGGGAGATGTGGGCAGGACAAAGGGATCCACCGGGGTTTGCTCGGTGCTGCTTTCTCCATCCTGAGTCATCCGACCTTTCCCTGGGAATGCTGGAGGAATTATCCCAATAAACACCAGGGTTATCCTGAGAAACACCCCCAGAGATCCCATTCCAGCTGCAGGGCTGAGCTTGGCAGGGTTTGCCTTGTCTGCACCCCAACCCCTGGAGCAAATCCTCATAAAATCCACAGGAAACATCCCCATCCATAAAAACCTCCACACGAAACATCCCCGTCCATAAAAACCCCAAACCCCCTGGATCTGGGATTGTTTTGGGGATTGTTTCCCAGCAAGGCAGCACCACGTGCTCTCTGAGCTCACGGGTTTGGGTGATTTGTCAGAATTCTGAGAAGTTCAGAGCTGTCAAAGCAGAAAACGCTCGTTTTGGGATGGCTCAGCTGAACCTTTTTTGGGGAAATAGGAAATGTTGCCTGGAAGAGCTGCTGAACCCACAGAAAAGCTGGGAAAAGCTCAGGAAATTGCAGCTCTTGGAAGTGAAATCACTGATGAAGGATTTGGGTGAAAACCCCAAGTTTTCAAGGAAAATCCAACAAACTGAGGAGGGTTTTTGGGCAGTAGTGAAACATCCGTGGTTTGTAAGAAACCTTTTCCTTCCTCCTGAGCTCCTGCATTTGAGCTCACCAACAGAAAACTGACTTTTAAACTGTTTTTTTCAACTTAGAACTGAAACCTGAAACTTAAAAAATGACTTTTAATCAGTTTAAACTTTTTTGAGGGAGGGAAACCCTCAGGCTTTATCCTCAGTCTCCAAACACACAGAACAAACTGGAATTCCTGCTCCTTTGCTCCTTCCCTCCTGGATGTTGATTTTCCTCCCTCAGAGAGTTGACACCTCTTTGTTTGCCCAGGTTTTGGGGGAATTTGAGCTCAGTTTTCCCACAGAGGGGGAGCCCAGCCGCTGGGAGAAGGGGTTGGAATGTTTTTACCAGGGTGCACATCTGGGAAAGGCATCGCAGGCTGGGAACGACTCCAGCCGCAGTTCCCAGCCCAATTTTTGGGATTTTGGAGGTTCCCAGAGCAGCTGTGGCTGCCCCTGGATCCCTGGAAGTGTCCAAGGCCAGCTTGGAGCCACCTGGGATTTGGGAATGAGGAGGAGCAGTTTGGGCTGGAGCTGCTGAAGGAGATGACAGGGGAGTGACAGATGTGCAGGATTCCCGGCCAGGAGCCTCCTGTCCTGTCCTGTCCCAGGAGTCAGGACTGGTGGACAAATTATCAATTATCATCCTTATCCAATAATCCAATGTCAATACTATCCAATTATTAAATATCAGCATTATCCACTTATCAAATATCAGCATTATCCAATTATCAAAATTATCCAATACTCAAATTCAGCATTATCCAATTATCAAATATCAGCATTATCCATTTATCAAATATCAGCATTATCCAACAATCAAATATCAATATTATCCAATAATCAAATATCAGCATTATCCAATTACCAAATATCACCATTATCCAATAATCAAATATCAGTATTATCCAATAATAAAATACCAACATTATCCAATTACCAAATATCAATATTACCCAATTATCAAACCATAGCATTATCCAATTACCAAATATCAATATTTTCCAGTTACCAAATATCAGTATTTTCCAGTTATCCAACATCAGCATTTCCCAGTTTTCCAGCAGAATTTCCC